AACTAAATCCCATCTACTAAGTCGAGTATTTAATAAAATTTAATTATGTTTATAAATTTCTAAAAAAAATACTTCAGTCATTATATTAATGATGGGTGTATGTGTTCTCATCTCTAACAAACTTGTCCCAAATAACTCACAAAACAGATTTTCATCAGTAAAGTACTTCATTATTCAGTGAAGCAAAACACAGTGTTGATCTCTATAGGGTTTAATGCAATTTACCATGAAAACAAAACTTGCCAGGTTTAAGAAAAATCCATACAATATTTGCTTCAGAAAAGTTTCCAAATGCTTCAGAGAATATCCTTTAGTTGAAAATGCAAATATTTCCTATTCTATGTTACAAAAATCTAATGTCTACATTTACACAATATATTCCTATCTCATTGGTACAAGCAGCGCGCACATTATGTTATCATGCCAAGTCATATCATATGATCATTTCACTGTGCCAAATCATAACCCCAGAATTGGCACCATGTTATAATAAAATGGCTTAAATAGTTTAGTTTTTAATGTTTTAGTTTTTTAAATCAGGCTATGCAGGTAAAAAACAGCCCCCTTGACCATTATCTGAATCTGTCTGTCTCTCCATTATTTTGCCCAGCAACTCTGTGACCTAATGGACAATTTCAATCAGATTTGTGAGTGAAATAAACATTTCAAAGGTGGTTGTAGTTTAAATTTCATTTCAGTGGGTGGGTGTGTATGGGAGATAAAATGATACCCTGAGAGAAGGAGAAGTAGCTGTTCTACCTTTCCAGGCAGCTGCTGCCTGGCCCAGCAGCATGTCCCTCTCAGCCAGCCACTCGTATCTGCAGGGTAACCATCAGACACAGGAGGAATCTGGTAGTAGTGGCAGAGGAAAATTAAAAGACACACCTGTAGGAAACTGGTTTTCAATGTTTCAATTGCTCTTAAAGAAATTGCTTTTTAAAAAAAAAACTCATTAAGAAGACCTCTACTTAGTCTTTTTGCATCACGCTGGGCTTGATCTCAGTGTGTCCTGTTTTCATTGTAATAAAACAAGCAAAAAATGTTTCTGGATTTTATGATAAAATCATCAAATAACGTGGCTGAAAAGAGGAATGAGAATACAAGTCCTAAGACCTTACCTGTGGCCCTAAAGTCACCCTTCCTGTAATCCTTATGAATCATTGTGTGCGTTTGTTTGTTTGCATTTCCAAAATGACATAGGTACAACTGTAAACATAATATCCCCAGCTAGAGATAAACTGTAGGTATCAACTCTTTTAGTGACAATCTCAGGCTTAGCTCCCACTTACTAATTCTCTTTGCCTGAAGCCTTTTAAACTGCCCTGTGCCCTGCTTTGGTGTCCTTTTCCTACTCCTCTCTCTTCTTGGCCCCTGTCCTCCCATTAGTACACTAAGATCATTTGCAGACACTTACCCTCTCTTGCCTTTACCTACTGCACTATTATTTTATATTCCCTTTCTCAGCAACTGTCTCTTCTGTGTCTTGCTGGTGTGAACTCACAATTAAATTGACATAAAACTGCTCACATACAGAGTGACAAAAGTAATTTTACCTGTTGTTCTATTACTATTTTGAAACAATATTATAAAGAGAAGAAATGTCCTTTTAACCTATGTAAGTTGTACTACTTTGCTATTATGAAACGAAATTTATGAATCAAATCAGTGGAAAGGTTTCTATTGATTTCATTGAGCTTCTGGACAGTACTTCTCTCACATTTCTCTAGATGTCATATAATTTCTATTTTTAATTGTCATTTTAACAAATTTTATACTACTGGTACTAAAAGTAAAGCTTGCTACATCATAATTCCTTGAAAACCTTTTTAGTCTTTTTAAAAGAGAAACAATTTTGTATGTTTTAATCCTCAGACATAGTAACTGATCTTAATGACTGCATATTTTTAACAGTTCATTTACCTCGTTTTCAGATTCTATAAGAATGCTTGATGACTACCACTTAGTTAGATGCTTTTTGCTCTTTAAGAACCTCACCACTGACACCCCAGTACACACCCACATCTCATCTTTGTTACTAAGAAAAAGTTGACCTGAGGAAATGAGTTTGTTTCATTTATTATGAGTACCTAGAGTATAGAAATATAATTTCTCTGTGTTTTTTTCTTTTATAACTGGTTAACCAATAGGCCCAGCAGTTTTGTAAGGCTTGTTCATATTGGTAAAGCATATGTTTATTTATTAGCAGATAATTCATTCTCTTATATATGGATTCCTTGTTCCTCATATTTGCTCCTTGGACTTTCTAATTTTACTTCTTTCTATTGTTTTCAAGGTGATTGGATTTGGGCTTTCCCAATGATACATTTTAGGCTCAAATAACCTAAATACTGAACCTTGACATTTAACTATATTGATCTGTTCCTTGCCTCCCTATTTTCTTTTAGTTGTTTAGGGATATTTGTTCTGAGACTTCTGTGCTATGCTTAAGCATCCTCCACACCGAGACTAAAGATTTTCATTTCAACACTTCTGACTGAGAGTGTTTCTTATTTATTTCCATTTTTTGGGTGTTTTTTTGTTTTTTTTTTTTTTTTAATGTAGAAAGGTTTACCTGTCTGTCCTTGCTGAGAATAAAATAATAAAGAACTGGATTTTACCATGAACACTTGCCCAAAAAAGACTCAATACTGTTCTGTTTGCAATAAATCAGCATTTTTTTAAAAAATTTAATTTGGAGATGTGTTCTGTTACTATCTGTTATTTTGGTTGAGGTCAAATATAGCCTCCAATAAACAAACATTTAAGTATTGAAAAGTAGTATTCCAAAGCATAACTTAACTGCTTCATATATAATGAATTGCTAGGGCTGTTATATTGGACTTTGCTTCACTGTTGAACTTCTCCTATATGTGTTTTTCTTGACTGTCAGATAGTGTAAGCCTTCTGTGTATTTCTGTTATTAAAGATTTGCATTTCATCTATGTATTAGTCTCTCCACAGTCCAGCTTTCACACCAAGCTGTTAATAAGCACTTTTAATTTTGTTTTTATTTTGTTTCACTTTTTCAGCAATAAATATACACTATATATTCAATATATAGTGACATGGCACAGCATATTGTTGGAATGCATTTGCATTACCTTCATACATTTCATTTTTGACTATGAATATATATAAAATTATGATGTCAGTCTAAGCTACCAAATATGTAGTGCTACAAATTTGACAGAAAAAGTATTTCAGATATACTGTAAAATCATGGTATAAATAAAATATTCATTATTTGCACAGGTGGATTAAAATCAATAAATGCCATTTTGTTGTTACAAACTGTCTGATGTAACAACCATCGGCCTGACAGAGGCATATATTCATATGCAGGCAGATTTTTTACGTGGCTCTTTCCAGTAAGGCACCTAAGTCTCTACTGGGTTTAAGAGCTACAATTTTTAAAGATGCCAAGATGATATGATTTCCAAGAAATCATTAGAAATAGCTAATAATCAGCCATATGTAAAAATGAGTACTAAAATGCTGCTCTGCTGAAGTTAACAGCAAAACCCACAGTGACTTGTAGAGCAAAGCATAGGAGTTTCATTTATCATCATCACCTGGCAGTCAGTCATAGGTTTGAAGATCCATTGCTAGTGCTTCAGATTTTATTTTTCCTCTAAGTATTCCATGCATGTTGTTGGTGTCAATGGGATGTTGTAAGCTGCAAGATGTTTGATAAAAAAGGCAGATTTTACAAGCAAAGACTCCAGTTACTTGTATAAAGGGTTATACAGTTTTTCTCTTAATTCAGAGTCCTGAGTACTTGTTTTACAAACTGCAGAGTGCCCTCAAATGTATTGACTTTATTGTGGAGTCAGAGTATTTATTGTGTAATGCTGAGTCATATATTAAAAAAAAAAAAAAGGTAATCACTAGGGTGGAGAAAAAAAGTGATGGAGACACTAGCCTCCTCAAAGAAAAAGGTCAAATTCATCCTGGGTTATGAGTTGGTTGTTTTTTTTTTTTAACGAAGTAAACCATGAGAAATATTGTCAGAAATATATTACATTGTATATGCCACCTTAAGACAAAACATTTTTTTTTATTCCTGCTCTGAAAGGAAACTAGAGTTACTATCTGTGTACACATTTAGGCAGAGTGTCTACCCCACAGTTTGTGTGTATATTTATATACCATGGGATGCATACACAAAGTATATACCCCAGATGCAGCAGTATCTCTAGCACGCTAGAGGGAGCCATTACATAATTGCGATGACCCTCCCCCCCCCCCTCCAATTAGCTGAACTGGCGTGAAAAAATCGCTGGACATTCTGAGGCGTCTTAAAGGTTTGGCAGAAAGCTATAGAATAAGGAGAGGAAAGCAGAGAACTCGAGTTACAGTCAAACGAGGTCTCCTGATAGCTCAGGGGCTTATGCTGCTGTTTGTTAAACTTTAAATATTGTGCTGCTTTTATAGGGAACTTCTCCAAATGTGACTTAGCCAAATACGCCAATTTTCATCAGCCAATCTGAAGCCCTCATGCAGAAAGCAAAGCCCATTTTGTAAACATATCCTTTATTTCGTCTGTCTGTCGCTCTCACATAGAAAGTTGGCACGTCTGAGAGTAGTGTTTTTCCCCTGCCACTAATATATGTATAGTTTATTTATACACTGCATTTTAACACAGCATTAGTTCTATAACGGTTAACAGCAGACTTGCTCTGTGTAGCAAACTATCCATTTCACAGCTACAAAGAGATCCTTAGGACGGGAAGATGGGTCTGGAAAGAACACTGATTTGAATTTATAAATTTGCCAGACTTTTTCCAAGTCAAATGATATTTATGGACATAATAACTCAGGGCTGAAGGTTATCTTACTGAGCAAGGCGAAGGAGCAGCTGCCTTAATTGAATCTTTTAAGAGATGCTCCTAAAATAATTCAGGAGCGTCTTATAAGTGCTACAGAGTATATTTTCCCTTTTTAAATTTATTTTTCTCTTTTTTTTTCCCCTTTCCCCCTAAATGATTCTTGCTACTTACACGCTGGTCACAAATGGCAGCTTCATGTCGGTACGCACGGGTCGAGACCGGCGCTCCGGCAATCCGAGCACGCACCTTTCCAGCCTCGGTCCTCCCCCCGCAACCACCGCCCCCGGCCGGGAGCCTCCTGCCGCGCCGCTTCGGGCGGGGAGAGGAGCGGAGAATGCTGCTGCGGCCCCCGGCCCCTCACCCGGGGCTGCCCCGCGCCGCGGCCCCGCGGGCAGGCGGGAGATACTCCCGCACTCGGGACCTGCCCCTCGGGGAGGGGAGACCCTCGCGGGGCGGCTCGGCAGGGCCGGGGCGGAGGTGACGGCGGGGGGTTGTCCTCAGCCACACACACCCCTCCCGACATGCATCCTCGGGTCGGCGAGTCCCCAAGGCGCTCGGGGACCGCGCAGCGGAGCCAAGTCCTCACCCTCGCAGCGCTTTGGGCGAGTTCGGGGGTGTCGCGCCCCCCTTCCTTTCCCACCTGTCAACACGGAAGACTTGTTAATACGTCTCAAAAAATAAATAAATAAGCGGGCGGGGGGGAGATGTAGATATAAATAAATAACTAACGCGGAGTCGGGAGCGGCCGGGGGGGTGGGGAGGGGGGGGCTGGTGGCGCTGCGAGGCGCGGCGGCGAGATCCCGCATCCCTCCCGCCCGGCCGGGCCGCTCGCGCGCTGCGCGTCCCCCTCCGAGCCGATCTAATCAATGACACCCAGCGCCCGCCGCAGCCACGCCCCCCACCCGCCCGCCGCCCGCCATTGGCCGGTGGAGGCTGGGGCCGGGCGCCGCCGCCGCCGCCGATTGGCTGGCGCTGAATCCGTATCAATGTTTAAGCCGCGGCGTGAGGTGAATAGCGGCAGTCGGAGAGTGGAGCTGGGCGAGTGCGGCGCGGCGCGGCGGCCCCGCGAGTGCTGCAGTGAGGGAGGCGAGGCGGAGAGGGGGGGGGGGGGGGGGGAGGAGAGAGAGGGAGAAAGAGAGAGAGAGCGAGAGCGAGCGAGCGAGCGCGCGAGGCAAAGCAAAGCGCGGCTCCAACTGTTGAATTTTCTCTGAATTCTCCACTTACCTGCGGGCGGCTGGTGAAATGGATCTGGTTTATCTGGGATCGGCGTTCGCTCCGCGTGCTGCCTGGCTAAGACTGGCGACCGTCTGTTTGCAAGGGGCCACCCATCAATGAGGCAGAGAAGAATATTTGTTTTTTCTTCTTTTTCGTTTGAAAGCCTCCCTACCACACGTTGCAGAATTAACTGTGTACTTTGGGTCCGGACTCAAATAAAGGAGAAAAAAACGGTGCAGAACTGAGACTCGGAACTAGATCTGTGAGCAATGTATTGGGAACCTATATTTTTATTGGGTTTTTTTCTTTTAATTTGAAAGATTTCTGATTTATTTCACACATAACACTGAGGAAAGGTGGTTAAAAACACTCAGCAAAGCAGGAATCAGACGCGCTTCTGTGCCAGTGAGTGGATAACAGCCTTGTTTTCCTGATCCTCAGTCTCCCGGAGAAAGAGGTATAGTAAAAGTGTAGCTGGATCCAACACCCCCCCTTCTTTTTTTTTTTTTTTCCTCTCTTCTTCCCTCCACCCTCTCCAAAATATAAATCTTATTAATTTTTTTCCTGTCTGTAGAGTGAGTCACAGAAGCGTTAGGAAGAAGCTGCAACTAATGCCTGTGAAGGGAGGAACATGAGGCGATAGTCAATGTGATTTGTTCCGCTGGATCTGACTCATCCAAGCAGATTGAAACACCTGCATTTCTGGATTTGACATTCATTTATTTCAGGTTGTTAAAAGAACTTGAAATAAAATTTTGCTACCCTTCCCCACTATTTACCTATACACTGTATCGCTGGGAAAGGTGTTTATCGGAGAGGGGGAACGCATCTGGCGTTGCCGCCGCTCTTCTCCCCTGTACCAAGATGCCCAGAGAGACTGTTAAAGCTTTGAAAGGACTGCAAAAAATGCGTCACACAGATCGCGGAATTGCATAGGTTTTAATGTAAGCGAATTAGTCGATTAAAAGATCTCCCACTTTATTCATAGCCAGGATTGTTTTTCCTCTTCTCCCTTCCCCTAAATGAAGAGGACTAGGTGGCAGTGTCATTGGAAGGAGACGTTGAATAGAAAGAAAAGAGAGGCACTTGATAGCGCAGCCCTGTGAATACATAGACTGTTTTCCTTTTAACGAGAGACTAAGAAAGAGAGTGTGTGTGTGTGCGTGTGTGGTGGTGGCTTTTCTTTCTCTCCCCCGCAGCCCCCCCTCCTCTCTCTTGCTCTTTTTTTTTTCTTTTTTTTTTTTTTTTTAATCTATGCGTCCAGCCATGGTTTGCCTGTTGCTTTCCTCTCGGCTGCAGAGAATAGCAAACTGGCATTAAACTGCATCGAGAAAGTGCAGCTCCTCAGACACGCATACGCACACACGCATAGATACACAGAGAGAAAGGATGTGGTAGTGGCGGCGGCTACTGGCCTGTCTTAAAGAAACCCAAATGTGCTGCTGATAGAGCACGGCCTGAGCTTTCTCTCAAAATACAATTTTACTGTTAATGATGAAGGTCAACTGGTGGGTTTCTTAATTTTTTCGCCCCAAAAGGACGAGTGGGAGGCTGGTAGTAGAAGGAGAGAAAGGAAACTACAAATCCGAACACTAGTTTTTGCGGGGGGGGGTGGTGTTTGGGTTTTTTTGTTTGTTTGTTTTTTCATGTGTTTTGTTTTCCCCTCTTGCCCTGCAGTCCTCGCTCCCACTCCCTTTGATTCGGGAAGGAAACAGTGAGGGTGTACGAGACAGAGAGGGGGGAAATACCGATGGCAGCGAGATGCAGCCCTCCGCCGCAAGCAATGCAAGATTAGATCTCTAAATGCAGCAAAACACTCCCTGAAAACCAACAACCCCGCGGTGCAATCAGACATTTCACTACCTCTCACTGCACACGAAGAGGGCTTCAACAAGCTGAGACTTTTTTTTTCCCTTCTGTCTCTCCTACCCCTCCACTCCATCAATCGCATCACAAGCGATGAGTAGCAAATAAGCTTTTCTATCTCTTGCTACAGACCTGTGACCACCCTCCTTTCCTATGTATATATAAATACACATATTTAAGAAAAATATTTTTGATTTAAAAAAAAACCACAAACAACTACTGCCACCTTTTTTTATTATTGTTATTATTTTTATTATCCTTTGTACATCTGCGGGGATTCAAGGATCAGGAACACATCGCCTGCTCGGAGGAGAAGATCTTTTACAAATTTTCTGATTTTTGAAACCCTCCCACTGCCAAAGTTGGACAGCCGAAGTAACTGCGAGGGGACTGCAATCACGGCAAGCTCTTGCTGAAACGCTGCCGAAGCTGTTCCCTCCCTCCCCTTAGCCCCCCCCGCACACGATTGATTCCTCCCTCTGAGCTACATGGTCTATTTGCTGCCTCCCATCCTGTGTCTCTGCAGACGTTTTAGAGCAACAGGTTCAGGAACTTGAAATATAGGGGTGGGGAGAGAGAAGGGAAAAAAAAAAAAAGAAAAAGAAGAAAAAAAAAAAAAAGAACCGTCGGAGGAGGAACAACCCCAGCGCAGGAGGCAAAGAACACGGGGACAACCCTGGTCGTCGCTGCAACCCCGGCCACCTCCACCCCCTGCTCGGGGATGTACCTTTCCATTTGTTGCTTCTTCTTTTTCTGGGCTCCTGCCCTGTCGCTAAAGAACCTGAATTACTCGGTGCCAGAGGAGCAGGGAGCGGGCACGGTCATCGGGAACATCGGACGCGATGCGCGGCTGGCGGCAGGCACGGGGGGAGGCGGGATGCTGCCTGCGGAGCGTGGCGCTCCCGGTGGCGGCCGCGGCCCCAAGTCCACCTTCCGGGTGCTGGAGAACTCAGCCCCGCACCTCCTGGACGTGGACGGGGAGAGCGGGCTGCTCTACACCAAGCAACGCATCGACCGTGAGGCGCTGTGCAGGCGCAGCGCCAAGTGCCAGTTGTCCCTCGAGGTGTTTGCCAACGACCAGGAGATCTGCATGATCAAAGTGGAGATTCAGGACCTGAATGACAACGCACCATCCTTTCCCTCTGACCAAGTAGATATGGACATCTCGGAAAATGCTGCACCAGGCACCCGCTTTCCCCTCACCAGCGCCCACGACCCAGATGCTGGGGACAATGGTCTGCGCACCTACTTGCTCACCCGTGATGACTATGGCCTCTTTTCCCTTGATGTGAAGTCCCGTGGTGATGGCACAAAGTTTCCAGAGCTGGTCATCCAGAAGCCATTAGACCGTGAGGAGCAGAGTCATCACACCCTGGTATTGACAGCACTGGATGGTGGCGACCCACCGCGTTCAGGCACGGTGCAGATCAATGTGCGCCTCATTGACTCCAATGACAACAGCCCCATCTTTGAGGCGGCCTCCTACGTGGTAGAGCTGCCGGAGAATGCACCCCTAGGCACTGCTGTCATCGACCTCAATGCCACTGATGCTGATGAGGGTACCAATGGAGAGGTGCTCTACTCCTTCAGTGGCTACGCGCCTGAACGCGTCCGTGACCTGTTTAGCATCGACCCACAGAGCGGCCTCATCCGTGTCAAGGGCAACCTGGACTATGAGGAGAGTGGCCTCATTGAGATTGATGTCCAGGCTCGGGACCTGGGGCCCAATCCCATCCCCGCTCACTGCAAGGTCACTGTCCGCCTCATTGACCGCAATGACAATGCTCCCACCATTGGCTTTGTCTCTGTTCGCCAGGGAGCACTGAGTGAGGCTGCCCCACCAGGCACCGTCATTGCCCTGGTGCGGGTCACTGACCGTGACTCGGGAAAGAACGGGCAGCTCCAGTGTCGGGTGCTGGGCGGTGGCGGCGGGCCCGGTGCCGTTCCTTTCACCCTGGAGGAGAACTATGACAACTTCTACACTGTGGTCACTGATCGACCTCTAGACCGTGAGGCACAAGACGAATACAATGTAACCATTGTGGCACGTGATGGGGGCAATCCCCCACTTAACTCCACCAAGTCATTTTCTGTTCGTATCCTTGATGAGAATGACAACCCACCCCACTTCAGCAAGAACCTTTATGTCTTACAGGTGCCTGAGAACAACATCCCTGGAGAGTATTTGGGCTCAGTCTTGGCCCAGGACCCTGACCTGGGCCAAAATGGGACAGTGTCTTACTCCATTTTGCCTGGGCATGTGGGAGATGTCTCTATCTACACCTATGTCTCTGTCAACCCTACAAATGGTGCTATCTATGCCCTGAGGAGCTTCAACTACGAGCAGACAAAGCACTTTGAGTTCCGTGTGCTGGCCAAAGACTCTGGTTCACCCCACCGCGAAAGCAACGCCACAGTGCGTGTTACTGTGCTCGATGTCAACGATAACGCACCCCTCATTGTCCTTCCTGCCCTCATCAATGACACTGCCGAGCTGCAGGTACCACGCAATGCCGGGGTGGGCTACCCTGTGGGGACCGTCCGCGCCCTGGACAGTGACTTTGGGGAGAGTGGGCGCCTCACATATGAGATTGTGGAAGGCAATGAGGAACATTTCTTTGAGATGG